GTGTTGGGTGGCCACCATCCCTGTGACTTTGAGTCCCTTCCAATACTGTGGAGCACCTCGAGGAAGGGTGGGAAAGGATCTCTAAGACCTTGTAAGGAAAAGTAGCTGACTGGCAGATGGGTAGGTGGGTATCACCAGACCCCCTTGGGCCCTCACATTCTGGTGGCTAGGTCTAGGAACATTCCAATTTGTCAATCTTTCCCCCAGCTGGGCCCCCTTTCTCCGAAGCTCAAGCCCCGTGGGTTTGTCTAGAGAAACCCTTCCGCCCACAACCCCCCTCCCCTTCCTAGAAATAGCTGTGGTTGGATGACAGGCTGGGAGCCTGGCCACGGAGGAGGGGTGAGGCCCAGGGAAGGAGAGGGGAAAAGAGGGCGGTGCTCAGCAGTATGCCCAGAGGAGTCCGGAGTTTGAGGGAAGCAGAAAAGGATTGGTGTGTGGGCTGGGGAGGAGATCAGACTCATTGGTGCCTGGTTTGACCTGTGCCCCTAGACACGAAGATGTAGAGGAAAACGCTCCTGCACCCGTACATACACTGCCCGGCCAGGGCCTGCGCACCGCTGCCAGCTGCAGCGGGCCGTGTCTACAACACGCGATCCGCGCCTGGCCTAGTGGGTGGTAGTGCAACCGGGCCGCCAAGCCCGACTGGGTGAGCGCCCCGGACGCGGAAAGGCGGGGCAGCCCGGGCGAGGGGCACCCGCTGTGCCCCGCCTCCTGATCACCTTCCCGGCCTTCAAGCATCCCCCAGAGCTGCGGCCCGCCTTGGGCCGGGCTCAGCCCCGGAGGCACAGCCTGTCCCACAGTACCCCCCGACCCCCGGTGTCCCCGCGCCCCCTGGCGCTCGCCCTGGGCACTGCTCCGGTGGTGCGACGCAGCGGCCGACGTCGGCCAGCCCTTCCTTCCTCCCTGCGAGGCGCGGCCACTCACCTGCGGGGGGCGCCCAGCGGGGCGGGGGCGCGGCGGGGCGGGGCGGCAGCAGCAGGGGGCGCCCCCGGGCCATCCCATCCCGGGCGACCACACCGCTGGACGGGCAGAAGGCGCGGTGCGGCGGGAGCGGGCGTTCGACAGGCTGCCTCCCGCCCCCGCCGCGCTGCTGCGCCCGCCCGCGGCTGTCGCCTCCGCCCGCCCTCGCGGCTCCCTCCTTCCGCGGCTCCAATCCCCACGTTCCGCCGCTCCCCGCCCCCGGCCGCCTCCTTTCTCCCTCTTCTCCCCACCTTCTCCCTCGAAGCCGCGCTCGCCGAAGGCTGGGAGGAAGAGAGCGCACAGACTGGCCGAGCCCGCTAACTCAGGCTTACCGGGCTCTTGCAGCCAGGGAATAGAGCTGGGCAAAGATTTGGAAGAACAGGGGACACCCGGAGACGGTGACCAACAGTCGAGAAAGAGATGGGTCAGCGGCGCAAGGGGAGAAGAAACACGTGAGCCAGACGCAGAAGGAAAAGAGCACAGAAGAGAAAAATGGACACAGAAAATGGCCCGGAAGCCTCAGCCTCTCCCTGCGGCCCCTCCTCAGGAGTTTATGTGAGATCTGGCCCGATTCGCTGGGACGCCAGAAGAGGTGAAGACACCTGGTTGTCCCAAGTCGCTGAACACCGCTCGTGGTCCTCCTTCTACCTCACGAGAGACTTCTGTGCCGTTTCTTCTCCCAAGAGGACTCAGAGCAGATTCAAGCTCACATCCCAGCCCAAAGCAACCCAAATAATCCTAATTCCGTCGCGGGGTTTGCAGTTGGGCCATCGCTAGGATCTTACTTTTAACGCAAGTCCCAGACTTCCCAGTGGAAATTCTTCTTGTATTATTTAATCTCATGCCTATCTTTTGCACTGTCTGTATCTGGTACTGGATAGGAACTTCTTGATCTGAGCTAATGGGCCACAGAGCTGGTTTGTGCTACTCTAAGTGGAGGACAAGGATGAAGTCCGGATGTCTTAGAAGCTCTGAGTCTGTTGCTATTCCAGATTTCCCAGCTTTCTTTAGCAGCATTTCTTTTTGCAGTACTAGGGCTTGAACAGGGCTTTGCTCATGCTAGGCAAGTGCTCTGCCACTGAGCTATGCCTTCCAGCACTGAGCATTTCATGAAATTCTCCCGATGTTACCCTCCCCATTGCGGTTTCCATGATGAAAACTGGAGGGGTAAGAGAGGATTCTGTGAGGCCAGTGCCCAGGGCTCCATGCCCAGTACCTGTCCAAAGCAGCCAGCACTGCTGGCTCCAATGTCCTCTGGGCCTCCTTGTCTCATCTCAGCTGAATCCCTTCTATGCTCTTCTTTGACAAAGGCTGGAAAGTCTGGTTCTGATTACAAAGGGGTGGAGTACCCAATTCATCTGGCTGCAGGGAAGAGGCTGTGAAGCAGGACGTGGTGACAGTGTGGATTCCTCTAGAGACTGGCATTGGGAGGGGATGGATATGGTGGGAATGGGAAACCTTGATTTTACTGCTGTTGGCCAAGTTAGTGCTCAGTGGGCAGTTTCAATAGCTGGAGCAGTGGGAGTCACTGGGGGGCTGGAGAAAGGGATGAGAGAGGATCTGAGAAGGTATGGGGGGGGGAGGTGCAGGGACAGACAGCAGTTGGGGAGAAGCCAGAGTGTGGCAGGGAATGGAAGCTACCAGGAAAGGGCAAGGCTGAAGGTCATGGTGTATTTTGACAAGCAGGCAGTCGTTTGATCCCTGGTACCGATAAAAAGGAAAAAGACAAAAAAATTCCTCATACTCAAATTTCCTCATACTCAAAAATTCCTCATTTGATTATGTAATCAAATAACATGACATGTGGAAATTTGTTCATTTCTTATGAGCCTGCAGCTAGCTGTTTTCACCTAGCCCTTCCCAGTGTTCCTCAGAGCCCCAGGGGTGCATGCCTTGGAAGTAGGTTCAAATCTAAAGGCACAGAGGAACTTGATTGGATCCCAGAGAGGTGGTTAGGGCTAGAACTGCATGTTCCTGCTAGTATTGCTACTCTGTTGGGCCAGCCAGGAGTAACTTTTCAGGAAAATAATATGACAGGGATAAGTTAATACCTGTCAGTTATAACCATCAGTGTGAATAGTCTCAATCAATTCTCCAATCAAAACTGGAGGGGATAGGAAGAGGGTCACAAGTTGGACAGCTGAACTCCCAGCTCAGGCTTAATTTCCACCCTCAGTGTGGGTATTGTGGGGAAGAATTCTGCAAGAACCTGATAAGATGGAGAGATTATACAGTAGCTCAGTGGGGTGGAATAAAAACAGGGGTTCTTGAGTATGAGGAATTTTTTTGTCTGTTTCCTTTTTATCGGTACCAGGGATCAAACGACTGCCTGCTTCCAAGGCAGGTGCTTATGCCACTGAGCTAAACCTCCAGCCCCAAGTATGAGGAATCTTAATATCAGCTCAGAGCAGCAAGTACATAAGAAGGGGAAGGGTTAATAGCCAAGCTGCTGTTGATAAAGGTGAAGCTGAATTTCAGAACACCCTCTGACACCCCTCCAGGCAGGCTTTCTTACCTTGATTATGCAGAGGTAGGCCCATCTTGGTACCAAAAATGGAACCCCTTCTTCCATGGCCTGGGGTGATCCCATGCCTAAAACTGCACTCAGGTCGCTGGGGTGGAAAGAGCCACAGGAGGGGGCTTTGAGAGTACAGGGCTGTGCTGGTTGGAAAGGTACAAGGCTAGAACTTTGTGGGGTTTAGGTGCCGGAAACCAAGAGCCGGGAGATGGAGCAGAGGCGGATCCCTTGGCTCTGGACTGTGTATTGTCCAACCAGAAGGTTGCTGCTGGTGGGTGAGGAGCAGTTTTTGGGGAGGTGGGGTGGGGCAAAGAAAATCCTTTTCTTGTGGCCCTGGGGGCTATAATTGTTGCTGAGAAACAAGGCTTATTTGACAAATACTGCTTTCCAAGAGCAGATGTGCAACTCTCACTTCCTGAGAAACCAGATGTGAGCTTGTACAGCACTTGATGTGACACCCTTAGAATGAACTGGGGCCCTCACTGGCTTAAAATCCAGAGCAGAGCTTGATTCTGTTAAGCCAGGCCATGTGGCCAGGAGTATACATAACAGCCAGCCCCATCTGGATTCTGCATGCTGCTGGAAGCCCCAGATTTGAAAGCTGCCGGCAGTGAATGCTGACCACTCAACTCTTTCTGCAGCTGGGCTGGAGGCCGTATCCACACATGCTCTTGGCTGAGCACTCAGCCATGCCACACCTAAGCTTTCCCCAGATTTCCAAGCACCCTCTTGGGATACAGTAGGAAGGTTTCTTCCTGCCTAACCTTTCTGTGCACCAAACATAAGCTGCTTTCAATAAACTTTTCCTAATTTGTTCTCTACCATCAATGAGGGGCTTTGAAAGGCTGGAGGATGCAACTATGCCCTATACCTGGGATACAGCTACAAAAAGCACTGTCTTGCAGGTGCTAGAGATGCCTGCACAGCAGAAGACTCTTTTCTTTCAACTTAGCAACACATTGAAAGCTTCTCACATTGACCCAGCCTCTGATCACTCAACTCTGCCAATTCTGGCATCCAAAGACTTGCTGAACACTAGGAAAGCAACTGCTTTAATTGGCTAGCCACTTTCCCTTTTCTTACAAAATCTCCTTGACTCCCACTAAACACGAAGTGATTCAGAAAGCCTCAGTCCTGGTAACCCAGAGTGGGCCACCACTCAAACCCCAGCCAGCAGTGTGGAGTTAACAGTCTCACACATTAAGTCAGGATGGAGGTTGAAGGAAATGCTATGCCAATGCCGTGCTCACCTTATCACTAATAAGGGAGTACAGGATTCCAGGTTCATGCAGGTGACAAAAGTTAGCATAGGCCAAACATACTGAAGAGGGAGCTGGGATTAATTCCTGCCCTTCTGGGCTGGGTTTCTAACCACTGAATTTCTCCTGTAGCGCCATCTTTGCACAAATCATATTCAATGCTGAATAAAGGACAGTACAAGAGGAGGAAGCTGTCTCAGGAGGGTCAAATAGAACACACTAGAGTGTAGAATATACCAAACAATATCTGCATTAACTAAAACGAGTTTTAAACATCAAATTTATTTGGAGAAAAACAAAAACAAAAAAAAAAACAAAACAAAAAACCCAAAACAAAAAAACCCCACAACCCAAAGGATGGGATTTTACATCTCAAGACATCTCCCAGGTAGTAAGTCTACAGGTTACAAATCATTTTCATAGAAGATATTTTTGTACAAATTTTACATGTATCCAAGAGACCTAAACCAGTCCCTGTTTCTATTTAGTGGAGGCAAGGAAGGGGAGTGGGACAAAATAGCTTTTTTGTATACAACTATTCAGAAGAGCAGACATAAAGAGAGTAAACTACCTTTTCATTATCTACAACCAACGGTTTTAGAAGAAAACGCGTTCAACTTTGGGTATGTCTAAAAGCCTGCGTCCTAATTACTTGCCAACCCCACCAATTAATGATAATTTACTTGGTATACCTTTAGTCCACTAGGTAAATGGCTCATTATGCCCACTGCCACAGCTCCCAGGCACAGGGCACACACCCTCTGCAGGGCCAGAAAGGCTACCCTAGGACCAATGGGAGAAAGGCTTGCAAATAAAGAGACCAAGCATCATCTGTCAGCAGCACCAGTACTGCCCAGTGAGAAGAAATCTTATTTACCAAGCTGACCCCCAACTAAAGCTATTGTGTTCCAAGAGAAAACAGGACCTTGTCAAATATTTATCATTTATTCTCTCAAGCTAAAAACCACATCCCCTCCCACAAGCAGAAAGCCACACACTGACCTAGGCCATATTATAACCCAAGCATTGGTGTGGGACTTCAGTGAAAAGTTATAAAAACAAAATAAACCCCCAGCTCCCCCAATTGAGGTTGTAAGAAAAGCTTCCATGTAACTGTCCCTATTTCTCTACTTATTCATCACCAAAGATCAACCTAGGGCATTCTGATCTATAAAAGGGGTCAGAGCAGGAGGGAAGGAATGAATTAAAACACATCAAAGAACTGATTTTTTTTTTTTTTGAGAAAAGCAGTGATTCTTCATGTCACAGCATCCAGTGGCTGAGATAAAAAATGCCTAAGAGGCTGCATCTTTAGATCTAGAGACTAGTTTTAGGGAGGTTAGAGCAGCATGAAGAACATGAGATTGTTAGGAGTCTGAAAAAAATTTTTTTGTTTGTTTGTTTTGTTTTCTGAGCCAGTCTCATTACTATATAGTCCAGACTGGCCTTGAACTCACTTTGTAGCCCACGCTAGCCTCAAACTTGCAGCAATCCGCCTGTCTCAGCCTCCTAAGTGCTGGAATGACAGGTGTAGGCCACCATGCTGGGCCCTAAGAGTCTGGATGTGTTAAAGCTTCAAGGTTTCCAAAGAATGTAAATGTATTTAAACTTTCAGAAATGGTAAGAGAAAGGGTACAACCAAGACACAAGAATGGAATTCCCATGACCCCTAAGTGCTTCCTGCTCTAGGAAACAACCATTCATGTGTTTATCAGGTCACACCACTTCCCCCTACTACCTGGTGCAAAATAATCCATCACCTCCCTAAATCTCTCCTCCAAGCACAATTTCCCCATTATTTTGGTCCCCAAGCAATTGTATTCTTCAGTGGCCTGTAGACACACTCCCAACTACCCCCCTAGGGGGTAAACACTAAAGGCATTTCCCCTAGGCTGGCTCCATCAACTCAGAATAAAAATAAGAGGAAGGGTTGGCAGCCTCCTGGAGACAAACAATTTAAAAGAGAAAATCTACCTTTCCAAGGATGGAAAATTTATTCAGATAATGCTTGAGAATTCATATAAGCCACAACAAGAATGAAAAGGTAGAAACCTCACTGTTCCTTATCCCTCCCCTACTGCTCAACCACTCCAGACATCATATCACTGTCATTACCATTTTTGCTAAATGGAGGCCCCTAGGCACTAATCACACAGGCAACTGCATGGTATCCTAAGAACACACCACAACTTTTCCATTAAAAAGCTGTAGTCTCTGTTTCTGACTATAATGGTGATTCTCCGGTTACTTCAATACTTTAAAAGGCTGCAGCAGCATGCAAAAGAATTTCATTAAAAAAAAAAAAAAAAAAAAGTTAAGAAAAGTCTCCAGGAGATGGTGAGCTTTATTTTGCCTTGACTGGATAGAAGTTTGATTTGCTCTTGAATTCCAGGGTGGAGAAAGACTAGGAGAAAGCACAGGATGTAGAGGTCTATTCAGTGTAGTCTTCTCCTTCATTATCATCTTCACCATCCATGCAGAGAGCAGCATACTTGCTTGCAGAACTGAACTTCTACAAAAGATGAGCATGACAAGATAATGAAGGCTTCTGATTCTCACGTCTAAAATCATGAAAGAGATAGGTGTGGTGATGCATACCAGAAACCCCAGCACCCGGAAGACTGAGGCAGGATTCCCATGAGTTCAAGCCCAGCCTATACTATGTAGTGAGACCCTGCCTCAATCCCCTCCCCAACAAGAGACTTTGAAACTTTGGCAAAGAAGGGATGATAGTTCACATGCCCACGTGCTGTTCTCCAGAGTAGGCAGGGAGAAGGTCAGCTATGTGTTACTTTTTACCCTGCAGGAGAGTTAAAAGTGAAGAAAGGTGGCCCTAGGGAAAAATCTAATCTAAACTTCCTTCGCTAGTTTGAAAAAACATCTATGTCTTATTTCTAGTTACTCTGCAATCCCAAATGTGAAGAGAAGTCCAATGCTAAGAGTAAACAAGTTGAAGAGTCAATCCTTTAACACTCACAGAGGCTGGATTTTCCTCAAGTTTCTTTGGCTCAGGTGCAGATCTAGAGTCTTGATCCTTTTTGCCATCTTTCCTGCAGATTTAAACATAAAAGTGCATCTCTGGAGGGGCCCCTTCAATGTACACAAGCACAGGCACACCTTTTAGGCACTAAACAGGCACCTCCCCTCCAGTCAACAATCTGTGCTCTCTGGTCACTGTGTTATTTCCAGATTCTCCCAATGTAACTGTATCTGCTGACTTTGATTTCTTTACAGTACAAGATGTGGTGCTTGGAGAACCAAAAAATTCCCAACTCCAAAGACCCATGCAACTAACATCAGAAAAGACTTACAAATTAAGAAAGAATGCATGCATACCTATCTGACTCTTTCCAATGGTCTTTGTTCCCTCCATCTCCTAGACCACGGATGGAGTTCCCAGTTTGGCCTTTTTGGGTACTCATTCCATTATTTTCATCTGCTTGAACAGAAATGCAGAAACAAAAGGAAAATGAACCAATCTGTATGTCTGAGATATGTTCTAAGCTAAGTAATACTGGGCCTACAAGTGCTAAGAGAAATTAAATCTCACACTAGTGCAGCTTTTCTCCCAAAGCCCCTCTTCTTTCTGTATCTTCTCCATTACATGGCATTCCCAAACCAAATAGATCCCATTAAAAACTGCCACTGAAGCCAAGTGTGGTGGTGTACGCCTGTAATCCTAACATTCAGGAGGCTGAAGTGGGATTGTTTTGAGTTTGAGGCCAGCCTGGGCTACAAAATGAGTTTAAGATCAGCCTGCACTGTATAGTGAAACTGTCTCAAAAAGACAAAAAACAAAATGAAAAACTCCAAACAAACAAGCAAAATAAACACAACAAAAAACCTGCCACTGAAGGATTAGGTCATCTTAAAAAGCAGACTGGAAGTAAGACTATGGTGTTCTGTAGCAACTCTGGCATACTGATGGTGACATAACTTGAATAGAACATCTTAATTTCTTTCCAAATTTGATTTGAAAGAATGATTCTTTCTAAGAGGACAGCAGTATTCACCTTTGTCTAAAGAGATCACTACTGCCCTCTACTGGCAGAAAAAGGTAGCTAATCAAAGTACTGTCAAAAAGGTTTAAGCCACAAGGAATGAATAGATTTCTTTTTTTTTTTTCTTTTGGTCTTTTTCGTTTTTATCGGTACCAGGGATCGAACTCACGACTGCCTGCTTGCAAGGCAGGCGCTTATGCCGCTGAGCTAAATCCCCAGCCCCCTAGATTTCTTGATTATTGGGTAGAGACCTTTCCTACACCATGACAAGGTCCTAGGTCCAACCAGCATTGCAGGAGAAAGGAATTTTAGATTCAGGTGTCTTTAATTAACCTCTAACTAGATGAAAACCTGCTTCCCTTAGTATAGTCTCACCTTTCCTTGCTGGTCCCTCCTCAGAAGGCTGAGCTGGAGCTAGTTTCCCCCCACCACTAGAAGAAAAACAGTTATCAGTTGTTTCAAAGAGAAAACAGGTAAGAAACTTATAATTAAACAGCAACACTCATTTTTATAAGAGAAGACTGAGTGATCTGAGACTTAGAAAAGTGAAGCGACCCCCAAGGCTATATATAATGTGGATAGGTGCAGGTGGAAAGAAAGCCTGATTTACACCGTCTGCAGACTTTGATAATTTCAAGCCATCAAAATGATGCTGACCAGCTAGTAAAGCTCTAGAAAACTGATGTTTGGCTCTAAACCAAACCAGCTCCAGGATAATACTGAATATAAACTAAGAGAACATAACTATAACATGCTGTATAAAGTCAACATCCTATAGGGCACTTTCCATCCCAACATCGTTATTTATAATTCTGGGCTAACAAGCTGTTGTTTCCAAGCTGACTTACCTTGTAGGAGATTGGTGCTCTGTGTCTGAGCTCTGAGATCGAGCAGAAGGGTTAGAACTTCGCTTCACCCATGCATTCTCCTTCGGTGGAGGCGCTGGCATTACTTTTAGAGGCTGATCAGGTTTGGGAGGCTTAGAAGTTGGAGAGTGACAGTCTTCCTCCTTACTGAGTGTTTCATTTTCTAGAGACTTCTCACTCTCTCTTCTTCGGGCATCTGTGAAATTAGAATGGAAAAGTGAGATTATTGGGGGAAAAACAAAGATGTAACACAATGACCTACCAGACCATAAAGGAATGAAAAACAGCACATAAATCCACGTTTATCATTATTCTTTTGTTTTGGCTCCTAACAGAATGAAATTATCCTTAGACCAGTGTTTTCCATATGAGCAAAATGCTTTACTGGTGCATAGAAAAACAATAATTGTGTATGTATCTTAAAGTACAGCCATCTGGTTTGTCCTACAGAAAATGAGTACTCTTTATTTTAGAATTACACCTTTTCTATCTGTATTTTCTTTTTTTGTTTTTTATCGGTACCAGGGATCAAACTCACGACTGCCCACTTGCAAGGCAGGCGCTTATGCCGCTGAGCTAAATCCCCAGCCCCTCTATCTGTATTTTCAACGTTCCAGTGGCCTTATGTGGTAAATGACATGTACAAATGTGGGAAGTCCTGTGGTGAAACCCCAATCTCTAGTAGCCATGTTCAACGTCAACCTAGGAAGTCAACATATACGTGATACAACCCCACATTTATATAATAAAAATATACAGGCATGCTAAGTTTCTCCTTAAAATGAGAAGCAAATTATATGTCAGAATCTTTCATTTTAAGTGCAAGCTCTATGAAAGTAGACATGCAAATCAACTCAGTAACATCGTGCTTCAATCCAACTGCAAAAAGGGGCATTATCTCCTTGTTACCGAGAGAGGACTCTGGCATAAACTATTTCCAGAAAATGAGTACAACACTTGGATGAATTTCCAAATCACTCTGGCCTTGATCCTTGTTTTGAATTACTGAAGTAGCAATCAAAATACTGGATCACAGTAAGGGAAGAGAGACACCATAACTGAGAGATATAACACTGCTCTAGTCATATACAATGTCAAAGAACAATTCACAGACTCTAGGCTTACTACCACTGCTCTGAATAAACATTTGTAAAATGAAGGAACAAATTTAGCAGTCAAGTATAGTCTTTAGCAGAAGATTATCAAACATTATCCAGGACTACTTTTGTACTCATTCCTCAGACTCTGGGGAACAAATGATTGAAAACTCACACCAATTCATACTAAGTCAGAGTTTACAACTGAATTTAATACTATAAAGTCTCTGCATTCTTTAGTTATGCACAATTTATAAATAATAATAATACGATACCCACCCTGATCTAACTTACTTCTGCCAGATGGGGCTGAGGTTCCAGTCTGTGATGATTCGCTTCCTGTCCTTGATCTTTCCCGTTCCTGAGTTTCTTCACTTCGCCAGCTTGGGTGTCTGAAGAGAGACTTAACAGTAAACACACTGTGTCCTGCTGAATGAAGGGCACTGTGGGGCCATGGGGATTCTCTATGAACCATCAATATTTTACCATACTTCTGCCATCAAGTAATACCTAGCAAATACAACTATCATACACACGGGTAAACAGAAATACAAAGTAATTTCTAGCCTACATTTAATATTACAAGATTTTCTATTTTACCCCCAATAATTTGAAAGTATGTTAATAGTTTTAATCTCATAATAATCAACAGAAATTTGATCCCATCTAACCACAGTGGGTTTTTTTCCTTTACACTGCAGCAAGAGCTAGCAAATTTTTCTCAAAGGGCTAAACTTCATATTTACAAAAATAGGAACAGACCATAATTTGCTCACTTTTATGGATTGTAGTTGTGACAGGTATATAGCGCAGTAGATGTTTGAAAACTACACGGTCAGGGAATTCTCTGTTGTGTCAAACTGTCCCACACACTCTCCTAAATGTCCCCATTAAACAGCACTGCAACTGCAGATGGAAGATAATCTCACCTTTCCCGAGGCCGTCGTTCTAGTTTCGGCTCATCCAGCTGACGTTGCAGCTTCTCCTGCTCTTTCTGTAGCCGTTCTTCCACTTCTCTTTCTCTGGCAGCCGTGTCAACAGGCTTTGCCCCTCCAAAGATAGAAGCCGCTCTACTGGACTGGGAGGTACTAGCAGAAGAATCATCTTCCTTAGGAGTACTCCGAGGCTTTAGGTTCAGTTTGGGTCTTTGGGGGGGACCTAAGTTAAATGAAACTCTAAGTAACAGTTTTCTAAAATCAGGAGGGCTGGGGATTTAGCTCAGTGGTGTAAGAGCCTGCCTGGCAAGCGCAAAGTCCTGAGTTTGATCCTTGGTACCAAAATAAAATAAAACAAAAAGTTCTATTACTCTTTACTCCTCTACAACATGCATGATATGGAATCAGAATAACGGAAAGACTAAAAATGATAAATGCTTAAGTAGTAAATTAATCATCTTATCACAATTACTTTTACTTGGAAAGAAATTTCCAACTATGATCAGTTTCTAAACAAAATTAGTGGCCTAAGTGCCTGCCTGGCATATGTGAAGTGTGAGGTCATGAGTTCAAAAAAAAAAAAAAAAAAAAAAGGGGATCTGGTCTCACCAGTATGGCGGTACGTATCTGTAATCCTAGCATTTGGGAGGCTGAGGCAGAAGGATCACCATGAGTTTGCAACCAGCCTGAGCTACATAGTGAGATCCTGTCTCAAAAGATAGCAACAATGAAACAAATCCAATTTGATGGGACAGTCAAGTAAAGAGAATGCTATAAACTAAGTTGTAAAGAACACATTCATTCATACAAAAGATACATGAGGGCTGGGGATTTAGCTCAGCAGCATAAGCGCCTGCCTGGTAGGTGTGAGGTCGTGAGTTCGATCCCTGGTAAAAAGAAAAGAGAAGGAAAGGAAAGGAAAGGAAAAGGAAGGATACATGACTAGGACTGTGTTCAGTGAAGGTGTGAAGTAGTAACTCTTGAGTAGTCCTGAAAGCCGAGCATGCATGCAGTAGTGAAGACCCAGTATGAGACAGGCTAAGGGAGACCTTTCAGGATCTGAAGAGACTAAGAAGGTCTAAATGGTGGCAAATTATCCCATTAGATGGGGCAAGTAGAAAGAATGAAGCAAGGCAGCTTATTTAGGAATATTAGGAGGTAACTGCCACTTAGCCCAAACAAAAGCAGAAGCAGTGACTATGAATGAACAGATCATAAAAAATTTTAAGACTAAAAAAAAAAAAAATTTTAAGACTATAAAATATGTGTACAAGCACACAGCCCACTGTTGGTCCAGAGTAGTAAATGCTCAATAAACCAATTGTGTTTTGTTGTCTTGACTAAAGAAATAGGTAAGAGCCATGCCTTTAAGAATGAAAGGTATTAGAAAACCAAAGGAAACAAAAAAATCTATCAGTAACAACAAAAAAGAAAATCAGAAACACTGAATTTTCTGTCCTATCCGAGGAAGAAAGTCTTCAACGCAGTAGAATTTCCATATGAGACTGACGGATTTTGTTGCCATGCTGTTTATTAGTTGCTAAAGTCTTATTCTTGTTTTGGTACCAGGGACTGAACTCACAACCTCGTGCTTACCAGCAAAGTGCTCGAGCCACTGAGCTAAATCTCTGGCCCCTCAAGTCTTGTTTTCCTTTCTCAGGGAATTACAAGAGACAGTACTTAAAGTCCCTGACACAAAGGACCAAAGCAAGGTATCAAATAATTCAAGACAAAGGTTTCTGAGACAGATCCTAACCTTTCTGATTGTATCACTGAAGTCAGAATATAAATGGTGGCTACTTATTAATAACTTCTGATAATCAAATTTAATAGCAAATTCTAAATTCTAGCATTACAGGCATAATTTTAGAATACACATATTAAAAATCTCACCATGAAATGATAAACATCAATTATCGTGGTACAATGGAACCAAAGTCAGCAATATTTCATTATTAACCTCAAAGGAGTTATGGAACTGTTTATCTGAATTTCACTTCTATCTCTTCAAAAAAGGCTTTAAACCAAGTATGGTGACGCACACCCATAAATCCAGCAATGGGTAGGCTGAGGCAAGAGGCTTTCTACCAATCTGAAGCTGGCCTGGACTACATAGTGAGACCTTGTCGCAAAAAAGACTGCTTTATCTCTGTTATCCTTGGCCAATGTTCTAACATGCTCTGTGCACATAACGTGTAAAGTATGTTTCATATTCCTCAAGTGAACACAAAGACAATTTGTAACTTCAACTTTTTCCTAAAAATTTCCAGTGTTCCCTAGACCAAGTAACCAGAGACAATGATTACCTCTGTCATCACGCCTATAATCGTCCCGTGAGTAATCATCTCTGGAGCCCCAAGGTCGATCATCTCGTCTGTCATACCGGTCTTCATATCGGTCTCCTCCTCCTCTGTAATCATCATCTCTACGGTACCCGCTACCAAAGGCTCTTCTGCCACTGCCTATTCTGGAATCATAGCCTGTAAGTATATACCAAATTGAAATTATCACATAAGTTGGGCATGGTGGTATATGCCAGAATTACAGTACTCAGGAGACTGAGGCAGGAGGCTTTGTTGTAATTTCAAGGCAGTCTGGGCTATGAAGTGACATCAAGTCCAGCCTGAACTTCCCTGTCTCAAAAAGACCAAAAAACCAAACCAAACCAAAACAGAAAACAACTCACATGAGCAGGAAAAATGTAAAAAAAGTGAGTTCCCGAAAAAGTACTCAACCTGAATTGTGTGTTATATAATATAATTACCTCTATCATAGTCTCTGCTGCCTCGGTCATCGTATCGATCTCGGCCTCCATATCGATCCATATCCCGGCGTGGGCCATCCCGATAGCCATCCCGATCCCGATACCCATCACGGTACCGGTCTGAATCATAACGATCTCGATACTCTAGACAGAAAATAAGACAGTAACTCCACCCTTTTTCTTTCACATGTTAACAAAGTGCACAGTAACATAGTGAATCACTTTTGTTTCACGTACTATTATTCAAGTTTGTCTAGTTTTTATAATATATTTTGGGGCAAGGTAGCACATGTACTTGGGGGGCTGAGAAGAGGATCACCTCAAATTCAAGACCAGCCTGAACTACACAGTGAGGCCTTGTCTAAAAAAATTTCCCTGGTGAAGCCAGGTGTGGAAGCACCTGTCCATAATCCCAGCATTTTGGGAGACAGAGACAGGATAATCAAAATCCCTGCCTTGACAGCTTAATGAGACCTTGCCTCAAAATAAGAGGCTGAAGATGTAGCTCAGTGGTAAAGTGCTCCTAGATTTGATCCTCAGTTAAGATAAAAGCTAACATTGGGAAAATAAGACATACCACAAATCTAAAAGGCAAATAAAATGAGAAAAAGATGTATACAACACATTTTAACTAAGATCAACTAATTTTAACTAAGATCAACTAATACTTAGTAGACACCTGGTTTCATTTTTTTTTTTTTTGTCTTTTTCCTTTTTATCGGTACCAGGGATCGAACTCACGACTGCCTGCTTCCAAGGCAGGCGCTTATGCCACTGAGCTAAATCCCCAGCCCCTCTGGTTTCATTTTCTATGGCCAGCATGACAATATCTGGAGTTGGCAAAGTTTAGGCATAAAGTTATTTCTATACTGTTCATCTTAAAACAGTACACTTTGAAATTATTTCACAATTATGTATTAGTAGACTTAAAAAAACCCTTGAAACTCTTTGGGAAATGCAATAATCCATATGGCCATGAGCACAATTATAAACTGACAGTAACTATGGTGGTCTATAAAGGAGAATAATAGTTCTTAGGGATTAACGTTGTAAAAAGACTAGTTTTCTTTTCATATTTGAAAAAGATCTGTGTCCCCTTACACAATATGAAGCTATCATCACATAATTTTTGTACCCGTACATGGTGTTGTGGAGTGCTTGATTTACTGAAATCACTGTAAACCATGTTATAAATCTGTTTAAAAAAATTCTTACAGCCAGTGTGATGACACATGCCTGTAATCGCACCACTCAGGAGGCTGAGGCAGTAGGATTGTTGTGAGTTTGAGATGACCTGAGGCTATATAGTGAGCTCAAGGCCAGCCTAAACTGCATAGTGAGACCCTGTCTCATAAACACCATCCTCTCAAATTTATTTATGTACTAGGGCAATAATTCAATTTCTGGGAATTTAGCCTAAGAAATTAACTTGGTGTATGATAAAAACACACATACAAGGACACTGACTGCAATGCTCTTTATACTGTTAAAATTGTGAAGCCCACAAGCCATAGATTAAATTACAGGGAATCCACAGAAAGTAACTACTAAAACGGAAAACTTACCTGTGTCCATGACACATAACATATGAAGAAAGTATGTTACAAACTATACTTTACATAAACATGTATGTTTATCAATACTAGAGACCCTGGGCTGGAGATATAGCTCAGCAGCACAGCACATGCCTCGCAAGTGTGAGGTGCTGAGTTTAATTCCTGGTACCCAAAACAAAACAAAACCCAACCCCAGAGACCCTTAAAATACCAGAAGTATCCATACAGGAATGTACCAGTTCTGGAGGCAGACTGGGTAAAGTAAGTCACTTAAAAAATAAAATATAGTCTTCTATATTTATTTAGCTGCAACTGAGTATTACCAGATCTTCCAATTTTCCCACATTTTTTTAAAAAACTGGGAATTGGATCCAGGGCCTCATGTTTTCCAGGCAGGCACTGTGCCACTGAGTTACATTTCCACTTCTTGCAATTTTCTAAGTTTAAAACCCCTTTTTCCACAACAAATAGCAATTTCTAAATATGAATCAATTAATAATACATTTAAACATTTGAGGGCTATTTCTGCCCACTGAACAGGGTTCTTATTTACAGGGTCGCATAGCCTAGGCTGGCCCTGAACTTAGTGATTAATCCTCCTGCTTCAGCCCCCAAGTACTGGATTAAACCACCACGCCAAGCTGATTATTGCCTTTCAAACAATGATTTCAGGGGTTATGAGTGTAGTTCAGTGATAGAGGAACTGCACAGCATGAATGAAGCACCACATATGAATCTTTACGCTGCAAAATAATCACTTTATTTTGGAAACCATGTAACTTTTTCTATATGACTGGTTGGCATTGTTTTACATTTAAATTTTATAATTTGAAAGAATGTTAAGTGAAATAATTATATACAACAAAGAGTCTAAAAAGAGTAAGTTGGTTGTGGTCCAGGCTGGACTACACAATGAGCTCAAGGCCAGCCTGAACTACAAAGTGAGACCTTATCTTTTTATTTTATTTTAAAGAGATTAAGACAAAAGAAGACATAACAAAGCAGATCAGAACAGAACAATGTAAGCAACACAGTAATGTACCACAAGCCACAAGACAACCCATAATTAACAGTAGCTACCATAATGTCTCTTTCTTTGAAATAGTTGAGCATAGCTTCATATACAAGAGTATCAAACATAAAATAGTATAAAACCATTCAAGAGAATGAAAGTATTATAGGGCATTTATAACTATCAATGTCAGCGTCAACAAGAACAGCAACAGAAGTCACTGTTACCGTTGCCGTCACCACCCCCACCCCCACAATAAGCCAATGAAAGGCTGGGCATGGTGATACAAGTGTGTAATCCTAGGACACCAGCGTTGAGGCAGAAAGATAAGTTCCAGGGCCACTCTGGTGACTATACAGTGAAACCATTTCTATTTTAAAAAAGGCAAGTAAACTGCCCATGCTGGGCTTGGATTTGTGATTCTCATAGCCTCCAAGAGTGCGGAGATGATTGCTTACGACACCAATACCTGGCAGGGTAAGCATTTTTGGCTGTCAATGTATCTGCTGCGGACAATTTTTTTCTGTTATTCCTAGAAGCTACCTGCTGGTAGCACTCAGCACATGAGCATGCTTAGAAACTTTGTTCTGCATAAGTACGTATGTAGATGCTGTGCCAGGGACAATAGCCAGGATTTCCTGCATGCTAAGCAAGTGTTCTGCTGCTGACTCTGCCTGCAGGATCTTTGTGTGTACATGAATTATGTTAGGATAAACTTTTCTGTATTACCTTTTACTTATTTTCAGTTACTTTTTTGCTGTGGTTTGAATGTAGCGCCTGGCCTGTATTAGGCAAGTGTTTTACACTGAGTCACATCCCCAGGGCCATGTTTTTTCAGTCTCAATGTTTTCAGGACAGAAAGAAGTAACAGTAATATGAGAGAGCCTATCTTATTTGCAGTGTTAATAGAAACAAATTTGGAGTTCCTTGATAGTTTTCTAATGTACTATTTTTAGATTTAGCCATTTGAATTACAAATGCAAAGAGGCTTGTCTATTTTGTTGTATTTTTTTCCCACGTTGTTAAGGTTATACATTGTTTTGAAATTAGGTCTCACTCTGTTACCTAGACTCCTTGGCTGAGCTTCCTTCCCAGTGGCAAGGACTACCAGTGTGGGCCACCATGCCTGGCTGCTGGTTGTTGTTTTGGCTTTATTTTTTTTGTACTAATACTTGGTATATGCTATTGGAACATGTATGTCAGAATAGATATAACATGGATGTGATTTTTTGCCCGTCCTGAGAATTAAACCCAGGGCCTTTGTAATGAGCTACTTACAGAAAGGTTAAGGAGGTAGCAGCTATGTTCAACATGATGTAAATGTCACATGATGTGTTTCTGTTATTGAAACATCACATGGTTCCCCAGTAAAACATTTTTTGTGTCCTGTATGGCAGTTAAAAAATAAATCTAAGTGGGGGCAGGAGGAAGCCCCATAGGTACCGGCAAATACCTATAATGCCAGTACTTAAGAGGTAGAGGCAGGATCACCAAAAATTTGGTAACTTTCTGGAGAGGTAGGTAAACTCTATACTTGACTTAAAATAAAATGAAAAACACAGATCCATAGTTAAGAAGCACATCAGTGTGCTGCTGAGATTTTATGGTGACATTTAGTAATATTTCCCTTCCTCCCACTTATCTTTTTTTTTCCCCTGTCTAATGCTTGAGGTAGGAGCCTCTGACCTCTGAGATAGTCTGATGTAACTCCCATTAATTAAAAGCTGACTTGGGCCAGCTTTGGATAACAGCACACTCACTTTCTTGTTATCCATCCTGCTTGCTCTAAATTCAAGATGTCAGGTGAGAAAATAGTCATGTCCCTTCAATCAAAACAGGACCCTTGGTCTGATTGCTTTTTCTTTCAAGAGCCATTTCTTCCTGTTAACAACAGAATTTCTTGCATAAATGCCTAAGTATACTTCTCCTCCAAGCTTTCTTCAATCACAAAGTTTTGATCATAAAATAATACATAAACTTCAGATTTAGTATTTCTTTTGACCTGTCCCACCACTGTGTTCTGTATTTTATTCTCCACTTGTGTTTTTTTTTTTTTGAAGACAGGTCCTCACTGTGTAGGTTCAGGCTGGCCTTGAACTCACTGTGATCCTCCTGTCTAGCCTTCTGAGTGCTGGGAATACAGGCCTGAGTCACACACCTGGTTCTCCTGCATTTTATGTCCTCATAAAATGTTAGAGAACAGGAAATGTCTCACACTACATGTGTAATGGGATTCCTAACACCCATCTATAACCATGAAAGTGGTTAGATAATGTTGTATTTTTACAGCTAACGCATTAACACTATTTAATATCATTTTCAAATTTTTGTATTTTTATTTGTTCCATAACATGATAGGTTTTGAATTTTATCCTTGAGATTACACATATGCAATGACATCTTATCAAATCATTATAAAGTGTTTTTTTTGGGGTACTAGGAATTTGGACCTTGTGCTTGCCAGGCAGGTGCTGTACTGCTGAGCTATATCCCCAGCCTTTTACATGTATTTTGATTGTAATTTTATTTTGTGCTTTATATACTTTTTGCAGATTTGGGTGATCTAAAACATAATAGTTTGTCCCTACTGTATCCCCATGATCTTCTCAATCTTTTTCTGGATAGTCTCCTACCTAAATTTTTCTCTACTGTATCAATATCCTGCGAAAACAGGACTTTTCTGGTCACTGTTTTTTCTTGAGCCTAGAATAGTACCTGACACATGGCAAAAAGATTTAAAAAAAAATTTAAAGAGTAGCCAGGTGTGGCCAGGCATGGTGGCTCATGCCTGTGATCCCAGCACTCAGGAGACTGAGGTGGGAGCGTGGGAGGATCATTGCAAGTTCGAGACCAGCCTGGGCTACAAAGTGAGCTCAAGGCCAGCCTGAACTACATAGTGAAGAAAGAAAAAAAAAAAAAAAAAAAAAAAAAAAAAAAAAAAAGCAAATGTCACTTTTGTCTTTGTGAAGGACTGAACTTTTACAAAATGAATTTTATAAAATTCTCTTCTGGTACCCAATTCTTTTGAATGCCAAAATTTTTAAAAAATTGGTTAAGTTGTTGGCATGTGCGTATAGTTGCAGCTACTAGGGAGACTGAGGCAAGACTGCTTGAGCTGAGGAGTTCAGGACCAGCCTGACAATACAGGAGATCCTGTATCTATATCTACTGTATCCCACTTTCTATCTGCTAATGTGATTCTCTACAATAATACCTTTGTCTTATTATCAAACAAACTACAAAAGAAACTTGACTTCATAAAAATTAACTTACTGTCGCCAAAGCTATCATCACCTCTTCTTGGTGGATAGTCATCAAAGCTGTCTGTGGCAGGACGTGCCCTCCAGTCTGTGTCTGTTTTGTCAGAATCTCGATTTCTATCTCGCCCGAAAGAACGATCATCCCGGTCTGTAAAGTAAAAAACAAAAAACTCAAAAACAAACAAAAAACCACAAGTTGACAAAATGAAAGACTTGCTCTGTCCACTGCCTTGTCTGCCTCTCTCCTTTCCTCCTGTCTCATACTCACATACAGAATCAATCCTCACACTAATTTCTTTACTACATCATATTATCATGAAGATGTTCCAGGTGCCTTAAGTGCAGGTTATTCTTTTCTTCATGCTGATTTCTACTGGCTTAGTACTTATTCATATAGGCCACGAATTTCTGAAACATGAATGAGGTCCCTGTTGTGTATAATATATGATCTGAAGCTAAACTATTTATTACAAATTTAATATCCATTTAGATCAGTCAGGGCATTTCAAGAATTAATCTATGGATTGTATTATCTAATAGAGTATCAGTAGCACTCACTTCAAATGCCCACAAACACTGCCAAAAGTCCCCTGGAGAGCAAAACTGGCTGAAAATGGTTACTTTATATTTAGGCTGGTTTATCACTTATGTCTATTAAAATATTCTGGGGAAGGACACCTGTGCTGTGTCATCCTAGGATGATTACTGAACAGGAAATTTTTTCCTGTTTTCTTACCTTTATCCTGTGCTTGATCAGCAACATCCACTCGAATTCTCCTGTTACCTAGAGACTGAGAGCACAGGACTCTATTATAATCAATCTTCTGCCCCATTTGCACAAATCCCATAAGCGACCATAAGTATCTAACCATAGCAGTAGCACTGCAGGAAGGCAGGTCAAGGAAAGATATTGTACTCTAGCTAACACTCAGTTTGCTGGCTAAAGAATCCTTTATAGGGGCTGGGGATTTAGCTCAGCGGCATAAGCACCTGCCTTGCAAGCAGGCGGTCGTGAGTTTGATCCCTGGTACAGATAAAAAGAGAAAAAGGAAAAAAAAAAGAATCATTTATAAACACTTGAAAACTAAAATAGTCTCTAAGAATTAACAAACTTAAGTTCACCTTAAATGAGTTATCAGGCCAATTAATCAGGCCATAATTCACAGAACAGAATAACTAGCCAATGCTATTTGTTAAGTGTAATGAATTAAAAGTAATTTCCAGTTAGCTAAATAAAAGGTATTTTGGCACTACAATAATCACCAAACATTTCTGATAGTTTTTCCTCATTTCATAGTAGACAAATTCTACAGGTGAAAAACAATGAATTTTGGTTAAAAACACCCAAGTTATATAAAATGTAAAAATGATACAATGAAAACTCAGGAAGGCCAGGGATTTAGCTCAGTGGTCAAGTATGAGGTTGTGAGTGTAATCCCCTGCACCAAAATAAAAAAACAAAACTCAGGAATAACCTTAGCTCTTTGTACATGTATAATGTGAATTTTTATTTTTATCTGGGTTCTAATAGTATTCAACTATGAGATGATAAATAATTTTTTAAAAGGCTTTTTTACTTTCAGTCATGTTAAATAGTAGATTTGATACAGAACAATGGCCAAAATGCCTTCCCAAGAAACAATGAGAAGTTTCTGGAGCCAAAAGAGAATAAAGATCTTTTTTCTTCCCAGACATGAACTCATAATTTCTGAGTGGGAAAACATTTATGCGCAGTGTAAAAAGCAGGAGCACTGGTCCAGGTATAGTGATACATGTCTGTAACTCCTCATCCTTGGCAAGGGCGAGATAAGAGGATTTCTGGCCCAAGTAATTTTTTAAAATTTGATTTTATTTTAATTTAAAAAAAGATACAGAATTTCAAAACAAAATAATTAACACTGGTTAATATATCGCATATTATCTTTAAAATATGCTGTTCAGATTATAAGATTGAGACATGAAAAAAATGATCAAGTAATTGAATAATGAAAGCATACATTTTTTTGGATCACTCAGTCTTTAGGAAAAAAAAAAAGAAAGCATACATTTTTTTGATGAAGAGAGATTAGTATTATAGTTATCTTACACAGTTTTTCTCCATCTTAGTTCTTTGCTTTTGAGCAGTTTCTTTCCCTTTCACAGTACCTGTTGTAGATTTTGAATCTTATTTACTCTTTCAACTTTTTTTTTTTTTTTGGTCTTTTTTTGTTTTTATCGGTACTAGGGATCGAACTCACGACTGCCTGCTTGCAAGGCAGGTGCTTATGCCGCTGAGCTAAATCCCCAGGCCTTTCTTTCAACTTTTTATACTAGGGAGACAATATGTTTACACATGCAAGTCTGATTTATTTCACTTGTAAGTATGGTCTCACGTTGCATCCATTTATCTATAAAAGCCTTGAGTTTATTCTTCTTTATAGCTGAGTTGTACTCCATTATATAAAACCATCACATCTTTTTAATCCATTACGTTGCTGATGGGCAAAGGTGTTGTTTCCAAGACTTAGCTACTACAAACTATATTTCTATAAACATCAGTGAACATGTATTGCTGTGGTATGTTTTATACCAGTCCACACTCGCACCAATAGTGGAAAAGGGTTCTTTTTCCCTTCAGACCCACTAGCAATGGTTCATTCGTCGATAGTCAAATTTTTCTGGAGATAAGACTCTCAGTGTTTTAACTTGCATTTCGTGAATGACCAGTGGTACTATTTTTTCATATATTTATTTGCTGTTTGTATTCATTTGAGAAGTGCACAACATTCATCTCTGATGCCCGTTTTTGGATTGGATCATTAAATCTGGGGTAGCCTGGGTAATTTAGCAGTGTTTCAAAGTTAAAAAAAAATAAAAAGGGCACAGGACATAGTTCAGTGATAGATTGCTTGTGTAAGATGTATGAAGACCTGAGTTTAATCTCCAGGTCTACAAAAAAACCAAACAAGACTAAATGTTTAGTAATTTGTCCTGCAAAACAGTACTAGGAGGGACAGGGATTTAGCTCAGTGGCATAAGCACTTGCTTGGCAAGCACGAAGTCGTTTGATTCCCAGTACCAAAACAAAACAAACAAACAAAAAAAAAACAAAACAAAACAAGGAACAATATAACCCTAACTTTTATTATTATTTTTATTGTATGTTTTAATTTTTTGAGACAGGATTTCAACATGTAGCTGAGGCTGCCCTTGAACTACTGGTAATCCTACTGCCTCAACCTCCTGAGTGCAGGGATTACAGGTATGTGCCACACCTACCTCTTTAATTATTAAAAACAAAAAGTCCCACATATTGCAAAACTCTGGGAAATTAAGACATTTTTCCACCTTTGGTGCTGGGAAGCAAACCTGGGGTCTTGAATGTGCTAGACAAGTGCTTTACCACTGAGTCACATCCCTAGCTGGAAGACAATGCCCTTTAATACTAAATTGATTTATCTTTACCACCCCTACCAGGGATTAAACTCAAAACTACATGCATGCTAGGCAAATGTCCTACCACTGAGCTGTATTTTCAGCCCTAATCATCTTAAATTTGATTTTTGAAACAGGGTTGATGCAATTGTCCAGCCTGGCCTTGAAATCTGTAATCTTCCTGTCTCAGCTGTTCACACAGATAGGCTTACAGTAAGTAGTGTGCCACTATACCTAGTTTTTCTTGTGTGCATGTACAGAGATTTTTAAAAAGCAAATACATAAAAGCTGAGGCAAAGCAGTAAATAAACTGAGACTTTATACTTAGTGTGTCTGGTTTCTTCCAAAATTTACCTATGTGATTGTGAATTGTTAAGAGATGCTGAACATTAAATAATCTGGGGTCTTCACTGTGGCCAGGGGAATGTTTAGTACCCCCCTCCAATATCAGTTTGAAACTGAGTGTTACACAGCACACCTGGAATCCCACCACTCTTTTGAGGATATAGGCCAGGGCAAAGGCCCTGGGTTTAATCTACATTTCTAAGAAAAAAAAAAAAAAAAATCAGTTTGATAAATACTAAATTTACACCACCCCAAATCCTTTACCTCTTCATTGAGACTCAGGGCACTGAGCAGGGAATCCAGGTCCTCAAACTCAGCATAACCAAAACCTTTCAACCTGTCTGGATTGCTGGGTTCACGTGGCAAACGCACTGCACTGATCTGAAAGAGTAAAGATAAGGAGTTAAAAGTCCTTTTTTTTTTTGGACTGCACAAGAACCAATGCCCATACTACAAATTTCTCTGAAGAATATCAGAGAACCTAGATGTTTCCAGGAAGAATACTACAGAAAAATAGAAGACATTTTATGCTCTATCACACCTTTGGATTTTCATCCATTTGCATTTAACTCTTTGAAAACAAATGAACTGTGAATTCAGTGTATTCCTGCTAACCTTAGCTTTGTTTCCTTTTATATGCTACATTTTTAATTTTGTTTCATTCACTTAAGAACTGTCCATTCCACAAGTACTTTTAGTTACTAATTGGAACTATCTAGTTAATGCCCTAAAATGATTACACTTACATTTAAGCCTCTAAAGAATTCCTTAATAGAGTCTTCTGTCACTTCATAGGGCAAGTTTCCTAGAAAAGCAGTGTAGGGTGGCGATTTGGGAAGACGGCTCCGGTCGATATTGGGTTCCCGAGCAGCCCGTGGAGCAGTGGGAAGGATGGAACGGTCAATTGGAGGTGCCCTATACACATCATCATCATTACTGTGCCAAGTGGTTGAAACTAGGATAGAAGAACCAAGAAAAAGGATTACTGTTTAGAATAAAATCTATGCCAACCTACATGTGTGGAAGACAGAGGCAGTAGGATCACAAGTTTGAGCTTAGCTCCAGAAACTCAATGAGAATAAAGAGCTGGAGCTGGGTGTGATGGTACAAGTCAGCAACCCTAGCACTTGGGAACCCAAGGCAGTAGCATCATCTGGCGTCTGGGCTATACAGCAAGACCTTGTCTCAAAACAAAACTAAACACAGAAAGAAAAGAAAAAGGAAGCTAGGCTTAGCATGGAGCTCTCTTGAATGTTCATTGCTGTTCCCATTAAAGTCTTGACAGCTTAACCCTGAGATGAAATCCTGAAGCCCAAGACTGTGTATGTAAATCCATACATTTCAGGTTTTACAAAGTTACATTCTTTCATGTTACAGTGAACCACAAAATAGCTTTTATCTAGTAAATAATGAAATTGCAAGCATCACAAAAAAAGAAAACTTACCATCTCCTTCCAGGTCATCTGTTTCATCAGCCCAGCTGACTGGTTTGGGAACATAGGTGGTTCCTCCACCGGTCCCTCCATCCTCAGCCAGAAAGTCGGTTAGGGAGATAGTCTTCCCCTTCTTATTCTTCTTTTTTGCTATTGTAAAAAGAAAAGGGATTATTCATAAATATCAAAGTATTTACACAACTGTACAATGCAGTACATTAAATATATTTATAAAGAAAGGAACATAAAAGCTCATCAAAGGACTAGATTACGGCACATTTAAGGCTGGGGATTTAGCTCAGTGGCTCAAGCGCCTGCCTGGCAAGCATGAGGTCATGAGTTTGATCCCCAGTACAAAAAAGGTCACAGGATACAATATATATTAACACATATTCACGTATGGAAAAGGGAAGGATGTCCAATACTCCCCTCTGGAAGTATAGCTGAGGTGGAAGGAATCTTTTACTCTTTATTATATTATATTATCATTGATTGTATGTTATTGGGAATTGAACTCAGGACCCTGCATGTACCAGGTAAGTAATCTACTTTTGAGCTAGATGCTCAGCTCTATTTGAAAATTTAAATTTACCAAGTACTTCTACTTAAGACAGGTTGCCGGGCATGGTGGTGTATGCCTATAATCCTAGCACTCAGGAGGCTGAGGCAGGAGGATCACCATGAGCTTAAGGCCAGCCTTGGCTAATAGTCAAGCCAGCATGAACTACATAGTGAGTCAGTCTCAAAAACAAAAAAAACCCCTCCAAAACAAAAAATCCATACTAAAAACAAGTCACTAAATTCATTGCTTTTTGGATACAAAAGTACGTAAGACAAACTTCCTCTCCCACATCATAACATTTTATGTAGTATTTTTTCTGGGGTAGCATCAGGGATAAACTTAAGGAGCACTAACTGGCCCTATATTTCTGGCCCTTATTATTATTACTTTTTTTGGTGGTATTAGGGATTGAACCCAGGACCTTGTAGGTTTGATAAGCATTCAACCACTGAGCACCGGTGAGCTCCATTTTAAAAAAATGTAGTTTGAGCTGGGTGTGGCACACACCTCTAATTCCAGTACTCAGGAAGCTGAGGCAGGAGTATGGCTAAACGTTCAAGGTCTGGGCTGGCCTACATAGTGCACTTGAGACTAGACGGAACTATACAGTGAGACCTTGTCTCAAAAAACCACTCAGCACTTGAGAGGCTGAGGCAGGAGGATTGCTGTAAATTCGAGGCCTGGGCTACATAGTGAGTTCAAGGCCAGTCTGAACTACACAGCGAGATCTTGTCTCAAACAAACCAACCAACCCTGAAAATACCCGAAAACATAGTTTGAGATAGGAGCATATAAAGTTGCCTAGGCTAGACCTGAATTTGTGATTCTCCTTCCTTTGGTTCCCCAGTTGCATGTCAATTTTGAGGGATTTGATAGGTGTACAAATAATCATGGGAGGAAAGAATCATAACTACCAATTTATAGGAGGAAAGTTTCATGTTAAAGGACTATCCTAAAGTTAGTTATTAGATGATAGAACTACAATTGAAGTGCAGGGCTCTTTCTAGTCTACCAAAGGGTCCCAGCTTCTAAGCAGCATATTAGTTTTTTGGAGGGTTATCATAACCATGGCAAACTGCTTTGTCGTACTCAAATGTTATTTGAAAATGTTTGAACATTTTTTGAACAAACAGTTGAAGTGTTTAACATATAGTTAAAACACATATACCCTAAATCTCTGTGCTATAACACTTCATACTGAGATATGATACTAAAAGGAAAACACAAAAAAACTAACAACCAATGTGTTTAAATGTTTTCCATGGCAATGAAATAATTAATAATCTCTAAATAGCTCCATTTAGTAGACTGATCTTGGCTCGCTAGCCAGAACACTTCTAAGATAGCAAAATCAACAATTAATTCAGAACGGGGGTGGGGGTGGGGAGGATGACTCAGTAAGTTCTATCACTAGCCCAAGAGCAAATACTACATGACAAAGAAAAAAGTAGCTGTTTAACAAAAAACAGCTTCATGACTTTTGTAACCATGATTTCCTTTTCCATGTTCCAATTCTCATCTAATTTTCAACCCAAGAGAGCTAAGTACCTGTAACTTGATGCACCACTTGTTTAACTGAAGGTTGTTCTCTCACTTGGTATATGTCTTGCTTTTAAAATTCAACTGTCAGGAAATTAAAGGTGACCTGTTTGCTACGAATGTTACAGCCTTCTGAACATAACAAGAACCTGAAGTATTATGGTCTCAAGGTGCAAATCTGATGAGCTTGGCTGCAATAATATGAAAAAAAGATGTTCATTAATGTGAAGTTTCTGTATTTCTCTCAAGTGATTTAATACTAATCTGGCTACCAAGAGTACTGCACGCGTCATGAGTGACCAGATCACAGCTGTTCTATTCTAGCTATGAATCTACTCTAAAGCTTTGAAAGAAAGCAGTTACTCAGAAGGTTGAGTCCTATAGCAGTGATTCTTTTCCAGCTCATTGCAAAGATCTAGGAGAAATTTTAAAGAGCTAATGTGAACAAGAGGTTGAATACTCATAGTGCATAGCCTTACTTTAGTCATTTTATATTTTTTAATTAAGCAAGTGTCTGGGATTAGTATGATGCTTGCCAGAGCTCTTACCCTCTTGGAGCTTAATCTAGTATCATCAGCTAATACCCAATTATTAACATGTTCTACCATTTGGAGAAAACAGAGCTTGTGGTCAGTCTACTAATGAGGTTAAAATTGAATATAAGAACAATTAAGCAAGGTACCCACTTTCTCTTGTTCTACAGACTTACAACAAAAGTGCAGAATCTACAATCTGCCCTTTGGTCTGATACAGCTTAAATCAACTTTGTAGATCAGGGTTTCTCAATTTTTAACTTGTTGATTCTTTTGACAAAATGACAGCCTCACACACTAACATTTAAAATTTCAAAATAAATTAGCATAACTGAAATATTAAACCACTGTTAATTTTAAACATTGTTGTAAGGACTTCAAGGATAAAATTCCTTTATAAGATCTTCAATTTGAGAGTAGCAACACTGACCTAGCGCCACAATGTAAATCTAAGTAAATATAATCCTTAAAAGCTGGGAACTTGAACAACTATTTCTAAGATGACAATAATCTATTAACTAGTGATTTCTTACTATTTTTTTGAAATTCTGTATTACTTGTATCCTTTTTGGTTTTTTTTTTTTCTTTTTCTCTTAAAAAAAAAAATGCTAGGAACCTTTAATCCCACCACTTGGGAGCCTGAATGTCGATCTCCCCAAACTGAGGTCAGTCTGGGCTATAGTGAGTTCAAAGCCAGCCTGAACAACAAAGCTAGACCTCATCTCAAAAACGCTAATAAACACTACAAAATTGATAAAGTGAACGCCAATATTTGTCCCACGTCATTTTATTCCAATAATACAAAATACGCTACCTAAATCCTCCATGCCCTTTGTTCCTCCAATACCTAGGCCTATACATGTCTGGGATTTCAACAGTGTTCCCTGGTTAATTTTTTGAGCTAAGGTCTCACTATGTAGTTCAGGTTAGCCCTGAACCCACTATTAGCTGAGGTTGATCTTGTAGCCTGCCTCAGCCCCCAAGTGTTGGGTTTACAGGCATGCACCACCATACCATGTCTGGGTGTTCCCTGCTTTTTAAGTGTTGTTAAAGATCAGGTAGGTCAAACGCACAGTGATTGGTAGAGTTCTTTTATTCTTCTTAAATCTTATATGAATTAACAACTTAATCATCACACAAAACTTTCCCCAATTATTAATGCAAAATGCAGAGTGGGTATCATGGTGCAGGCCTGTGATCCTAGCACTAGAAGCTGAGGAAGGACAGGGATAACACACAACCCACATATCTTAACCTCTTTAATATACATACATAGCTTAAACACAAACCTTAAAGCATTTTTCCAAAACTGTTATTAAATTCTTAAGTGAGAAACATTTATAGTTTTCTTAATAGGCTGCTATAAAAATATACCAAAAAAAATATACTGATACCTTGGTTGTTGAACTCAACCAGCTCAAAATTTGTGTTTTAACAAATTTCACAATGATTCCTTTCTTTAACTCATTATGGAAAAGCTTGGTTTTACTGCTGGTATCACTTTCATTGGAGCCAAGGTTATGTTACTTTATGCAAATAAAGCAAACACACACACACAGAGAACAATCAATATTTTAACACACTAGCACAAGCACTATATATAGATCGTCTCCTTGTGTTCAGGTGACATAACTCACTTGATTCCTACAGGTTTTTTCAAATCAGATTTTTGGTTGACTATTGAGCAAAGTTATGAACACAAAACAGATTGTTCAAGTAGTGCAAATGTGCTGGCTGTCCTGTGCACTACTGGATGGTTAACAGTATCTCTGGCTTTTACTTATTAGCCACAATAAACTCTTTATCACCTATACCTCATTGTGATCATCTAAAATGTCTCCAGACATTGCCAAATGTTAAAGGGGGGGAAGGGTCCCAGGGCACCAAGCACTGTGCTTTGCTGGAGAGCTTCTATTTTCACTGCAATAAATATTCAATAAATAAAAGGAAAAGGCTCAGAATGATAAGACACTGTAATCCCAGCACTCCACAAGGATGAAGCAGGAGGATCACAATTTCAAGGCCCGCTTGGGCAACCTTTCTCAAAAAATTAAACTGAGCGTGGTGGTGCAACATGTAATCCCAGCACTTGGAGGCTGAGATATGAGGATCACTGTCAAAAGCCAGCCTGGCCTACACAGTAGGTTCAAGGCAGCCTGAACTATCGATAGTTAAGACCCTATCTCAGAAAACAAAAACAAAAAACAAAATAAAGTGTGTCTTCAAGATGATCAGGCTTCAGCATGTATAAAGTAAGCTTTACTATTTTTGTCTCAAAAAGTTTCCCTATTACTTCTTCACTGTAGCAATAGTAAAATCACCAATTGATAAAATCCTGAGATTGGCAAAAATCTGCACTAGCAATTATTTCTGGAGGACATCTTAAAATATTTTAAAAGCAACAAAAGTTACTGGTAAAATGCAACCCTACTTCTGCATCTTTCTTAAACTATTTTATTTAGGAAAGGAAATTCATGAAGCTCTAACCATTCAGGTGCAGGTGTGGTGGCACACATCTGTAACACCAGCAGTCAGGCAGCTGAGCCAGGGGGGATCACAGCAAGTTTGAAGCCAGCCTGGACTACATAGGGAGACCCTGTCTCAAAAAACAAAGTTTCTTTTCTTGTGGCACAGGGGGTTGAACCAAAGGCTTTAGCTCTGAGCTGAATCTCCAATCCCTTTAATTTTTTTTTATTTTGAGACCGGGCCTTGCTAAATCACTATTGCCCAGGCTGTGTGAATTTGTGATCTTCCTGCCTTAGCCCTCAAAGTACTTTTGAGCACTGACATGCACCCGTATACTCAGCAGTTTAATTTTGGATCTTGACAGCTTAAGTCCCACTTTGGTGGGAAGGAGGCTTTTTGAGTCAGGGATTCACTCTGTAGTTCAGTCTGGCCTTAAACTTACAGTGATCCTTCTGCATGTGCCATTACATCTGGCGAGTCCCACAGATTTTATAGTTTTCGACTTCCGTGACTGTTTTGAGAACTAAATTACTAAGCCAAGAAACTAAGGAAGTATCACAAAAACTTCTATAAGAATGAATGTTTATAGCACCATTTACAATAGTTCCAACAGGTGAAATGATCCAAATGCTCACAAACTGATGAATCAATAAAATATATCATTCATAAAAAAATATCATTCATACAATGTGATATTATTTGGCAATAAAAAAGATATGGTGTATGCCTGTAGTCCCAGCTACTTGGGAGGAGGCAGGAAAATCCCAAATTCAAACCCCACCTGGGTAATTTAAACAAAATATTATTGCCTCAAAATGTTTAGCTGAGCAGGTGTGATGATGCATACTTTGTAATCTCAGCACTTGGGAGGCTTGGGGGCAGGACTGGGAGAATTCAAGGTCAGCCTGGTCTACATGAGTACAACGGTAACCTCAACTACCTAAGACCCCGTCTCCAATAAAATAAAATATTTACAAAGTAAAGAGAAGGGTTGGAGTGTGGCTCAGTGGCACAGTGCTTGCTTAGAATATGTGATGCCCGAGTTCAATACCTAGTTCTTGTGGGAGGGAGGAAAAAAGGGAAGAAGGGTGATGGGGATATGGTACATTCTATAACATGGATGAAAACATTAAAGCTAAGTGAGTGAAAGCTGCAAGTCGCAAAAGTTCATAGATTATATGAAACTACAACAAATGTTCAGGATGAGTAAATTCAAAGAAAAAGGAGAACAGTGGTCAGGCAGGAGAACTGACTGCTAATGGTTAAGGTCATTCTTTTGAAGTGATGAAAAATGCTTTCAAATTAGTGATAATGGCTGAATATGTTTTTTTCTTTCTTTCTTTCCGAGTCAGGGTCTCACTAACTTGCTCAGGCTGGCCTTGAACTTGCACCATTCTTCTTGCCTCAGTCTCCCAAGTGCTGGGATTAACAGCTGTGTGCCACCACACCCTGCTGACTATTAAAAATCACTGGGGCTGGGTATATAGCTGAGTAGTGAAACGTGTCTAGCATACACGTGACCCAGGGTTCAATCCCTAGCACCAAACAAGGGCCCACCCACCAAACTACATACTTATTGCCTTTTACCTGTCAGGGACACTCTCATAAGAGTAGTTACAAAAATACTCAATTAAAATTCTTTTTTTTTTTTTTTTTGAGACAGAGTCTCACTATGCAGTTCAGGCTGGCCTTCAGCTTACTTTGTAGCCCAGGCTGGTCTCAAATTTGAGACGATCCTCCTGCCTCAGCCTCCTGAGTGCACCACCACGCCTGACTTCAAATTAAATTTCCTGCTTTGGGCATTTGCCTACTATTGGAACTAAGCAATATTGTAAACCTAAGAAACTGGCTCTAAGTATATATTCCTAGATGTATAAACACACAGCTAATAATAAGTACTTATGTTGAGCTAATGCCTTTTTTCCACTGACATTACTTAGAAACACCTTATTTACATTAGCTGACAGTAGTTTGTGTATAGTATTTGAATTTTCATAAATTTTAGCCTTGGTCTTCTGACTATCCTACTCGCAAAATCACAAAAACAATGGTAAGGGATAGGATTAGGATTGGAAAACAGGAAATTTGTGTATAGTGGCAACCCTTTAACTATAAAGGGCTTCACTGTATGAAAACTAATGAACATCATCTTATCCCTATAAAAACCATACATTATTGTGAAGCATTATGCAAATGAAGAGCCTATACAGTGGTTCACACATTTCCAATGTAAAAGTTTTTTTTTTTTTTTATCGGTACCGGGGATGGAACTCTATCTTGCGCTTGTAAGGCAGGCGCTTATGCCGCTGAGCTAAACCCCCAGCCCCTTGTTTTGGTTTTGAGACAGGGTTTCACTATGTAGTTCAAGCTGCCCTTGAGTTCACATCACTCCTGCCTCTGTCCTCAACAGGAAAAAACCAACACACAGACTGCTATCATGCCTTTCAGTTCTACAACTTTCACAAAAATTAAGGAAAGGGAAATATGGCCCTTTCACCAAAGAATTCATCGATTAAATATGAATAGTTTTGTAAACTTCAAACACTTTTGAGCAACTTAAACTCAATGGTATCACGGTACTTCTAAGTCGGTAAAGTCAAGACCCTCGAGAATTCTGATCATGTTCTCGACGGTGAACAAATCTCTCATTTTCTTCAGCTGGGAGATGGTCATTTTCTTATATTAGAAAACATTAAAAAAAAAAACATTAACCTATATATACATAAGTGTTTGCTCCATTAAGTGCTACATCAGTGAAAGTTATCCTGATGAAATTACCTCAATGCTGTCAACATTTTTCCAAAGACATTCTTACACTCAACTCCCCTGTAGTAATAGGAAACATGAACTCCTGGTCAAGTAATGTGTCTACAGTTAACAGTTTAAAAAATGCTTTGCAGAATACAAAGTCATGTCAGGAAAAATAAAGCGTATCCTCAAAACGAAAACTAGTGCTACAAAAAGTTACAAAGGCCACTTCTGTTCTTATAAGCTCATCACATTCACAAATAAAAATTGCATGATAGTGATAGTTCTCGCAAAGAAGTCTTTAAAAACCCCTCTACCACTTTAATAGCATCTCCTAGAAGGTTCAGTTACCTAAAAAAGAGCTGAACCCTATCGTTAAAACTGTCAAAATTAAGCCTAAGTGTATCTCCCATACCTAGAACTGTACTGGCATATAGTGTGTGTGCCCAATAAAAAAATACTGATTGAATCAGAAAAAGGATGAAGGGAAATCGCTGTGCCCACACTTGCTTCCACTGCTCGAACACGTGGGGGAACACTAGGTTCCCATACCCTAACTCACTAACACACGTCTCTGGAATATAGGGGCCAGACATGGAAGAGCACCAAGTAGGACATAAATGAACGCCATAAACGCACGTAAAAGCTTTCCATCTGGACTCACCGCACGCTTTTAAGGCGCTCAGTCTCACGGTCCTCGTCAATCCCACCGCGCACGCGCACCGTGTCTCCCCCCCCCCGCCCCTCCACGGACTCGCGTTCGCGTTCTAACTGCCCCCCCCACCCTGTTCCCCTGCCCCCGCCCCCGGTCTGCAACGGCCTCGCGCCTCGGAAACCTAGTCTAATGTGCACAGTCCGCGCGCCAACCGCTTCTTTCCTCCCTCCAAGCCTTCACGTGGACCCAGTACTTTACGTCCACGAAAAGGCCTTGGGCTTTCCGCAGATCTCTCTGCACTTCCTCCTCCAATTCAAGCCAAAGTCCACCATTACTGCCTACTCCAACCTCGCGCAAAAGGGGTGAAAAGGGTGTGTGGGGGAGGGAAAGGGCACCTCCCCCCCCAAACATCCCGAGGCAGTAACCTAACAAGGCTACGCTGGCAACCTGGTGTGGCTGCCAAGCCACAAGAGAACCGGTGCCACATACACTCCGACTCCAAGAACTACCGGATCAAGAGGGAGAGTGATTTCGGACCTTGGTCCTTGGCCGCGCTCGGCCGCTCACTCACCTGAGGCCGCCATGTTGGGAGAGGGAGAGAGAACCCAAAGGACCCGGATGAGGCAATCACGTGATTATAGCGGGCGCGTCGTGGTAGGAGAATCTACAGTGAGAGGGGGCGGGGATGTGAGGACGGAGACAGGAGGCGGGGAGCCACAGTCTAGGTTCGTAAAGCAGCGCGAGGAGGTGGCGCGGCGTCCGATGGGAAGACCTGCGCCACATGTGGCCAGAGGGGTGGAGCCTGCGCTGTCGCGAAACCCCTGCGCTTTACGTAGGGCTGTGTACGGCCACTGGGCAGGATCTGAGCCCGGGGCGGGTTCTCGGGATGCACCGACTTCCGGTTGAGCGTTTGTGCTTTCCGTGGAATCTAGGGCTACTGGAATTAGGGATGAGTGTGACGCGATTTATTTTCTGAAAGGAAAGGTTCTGAATTTAAATCCCTCTTACTAAAGGTGAAACAAGATCAACATACCCCTGAAAATAGTTTTAAAGGGATTTAATTTTAAAAATATTTTTATTAGTGTATGTTTGCAGTACATAATGATTTAAAGGTGTTTTTAGAGGAAAAAGAAGGTAACATAGTGACCACGTAATTGCCATGGGCTTTTACTCATTTAGTTTTCCACTTTATTAACTAGGTTCAGAGCTCCAGCTATGCTCTGTTTTATCATTTTTCATTGAATGAAAATTTTTGTTTAACACTGTTAGCAAACATTTGTGGATAAACGGAACAAAACTGTCCCAAAGGAAGCTGTATTCTAGTGAGGGGAAGAAAGACAATAAACAACGAATGAAATATTACAAGTTATAAGCCCTCTGAAGTAATTAAAGGAACACAATAAAATATGGTTGAATGCATCATTATTTAGGTTAAGAAGGCCTTGGAGGGACATTTAGACTGAAATTTAAACCACAAACTTAGCCCTAGAAATGTCTTTAAAAAGAGTTTAAGGCCGGGCATGGTGGCTCACACCTGTAATCCTAGCACTGGGGAGGCTGAGGCAGGAGGATTGTTGTGAGTTCGAGACCAGCCTGGGCTACAAAGTGAGCTCAAGGCTAGCCTGAACTGCATAGAGAGACCCTGTTTCAAAAACAAACAAACAAACAAGAGCTTTAGGAGAAAACAGAGAATGCACATCTGAAGGAAAGGCTGCAGAGCAGGAACATTTTTGTAGTTTGAGTGCAGTTTGAGGAATTTAAAGGCCTGCATCTAGAGTGTGGTGACATAAGGGAAAGAGTGGCACAAAATAAAGTTTGAGGGATAGAGTCATGTGAGGCTTTGTAATTCAGATTTTCCAAGGGAGTTAGGAAAGCATGAAATAATTTTAAGCAAGGGTATGTCATGAATTGACTTTGGTTTTTGAAACAGGGTCCTACTGTATAGTCCAAACTGGCCCTCAACTCACTGTAACTCAGAGTGGCCTTGAACTTCAGGTGATCATTCTGTCTCTTTCTGAATGCTGGGATTACAGCTGTGTGCTGAAATAAAGCCAAGTGAAGTAAAATTTTAAAAAAGGATAACAATATTTTGATGTAAGCAGTAGTTACATGTATCTTTAGTAACAAACTATCAGATTATAATGTAAGATATGTGTACTTTATTGTATGTAAATCATTTAATTAGAATTGAAAAGATTACTCAGACTATTATTGAGTGGAGAGTAACTATGTAGATGCAATGATAGAAGAGAAAGACCAGTTAAAGGTTGCTGCTGCCAAGGCCATGTGATTTTTAATGAGCTCTAGGCACTTTTGCTTAGATAACTAATTATCAAAGATAACTCCCAAGTTTTTAGCATGAACACATGTGATGGCATTTACTTAGATGATAAAGCCTGGGGTAAAGCCAATTTGGAAAGGATGTGTGAAATGTTGTGGTCCCGTTAAGTTCGAGATGTCTAATCTAGGGCTTTCAGACTTTGATATGCTTTAAAAATCCCTTAGGAGCTTCCTACTATATTGCACACCATGCACATAGCAGGAAAATAAAATATCAAATATGAAATGAATGCTTAGAATAGACATCAGCATTCCACATCAACTGTTTACTTGCTTATAAAACCCTTTATGGGGGCCGGGGAAATAGCTCAGTGGCACAATGCCTTCCTGGCAAGCATAAGGTCTTGAGCTTGATTCCTAGTACATACAGACACCAAACAAACAAACCAACCAACCTATGTAGACTATACTATAAACACAAAAGACTACCACAGAAATGTTTTGCTTCAATTGTCACACCTGAGGCAGTCTCCACACGTGACAACTGCATGTTCCATACACAAGTATCACTTACACTGATAGTGTTTTTCTGTACATTTTTAATGGCAAAAAAGTAAAACAAAAATTTCATAATATAATAGAAAAACAGTAATTAATACATTGCATGTTATATTTAAAGTAGTTACTCAGAATATAAGATTTGGGCATAAAAAATTCTCCAAACAATATTAGCATAAACCTTTGTTTTTTTTTATCTCAGGAATTGAATTCAGAACCTCATGTTTGTCAGGCAGGTGCCATGTCACTGAGCTGTATCCCCAGCGCCAAACCTTTCTTTTCAATGAATATGAGAAGCTAGTAGTGTAATCATCTTGAATTTATTTTTCCTTTCCTTCTTTCCTTTCCTGTTTCTCCCATCCTGGTTTCTTTTTTCTTTTGAACAGTTTTTTGTCATTTTGCAATATTTTTTATACATTTTGGACCTTGTTTACTCTTTCAGTTTCTCATACCAGGAAGTCAATATGATGATTACACATGTGAGACTGATTTATTTCATTTATGACTGTGGTCTCAAGTGGTGTCCATTTACCTATAAAAGTCTCAAGTTTATCCTTTTTGAGCTAGGGATATAGCTCAGCAGCACTGTGCCTGCTTAGCGAGTTTGATTTCTGATACCAAAGAAATGTGGAAGTTTATCTTTCTTATGGCTGAGCAGTACTCTATTGTATAAAAAGACCACATCTTTTTTATAATCTGTTCTTCTGTTGATGGGCATTTGGGTTATTTCCATGATTTAACTATTACAAATTGTGCTGCTATAAACGTGGGTGTACATATATCACTGTGGTATATGTTTTTAATTCTTTTGGGAAGATACCCAGAAGGGGAATATCTGGGTTGAATGGGACCTCCAACCCTAGTTTTTTGAAGAATCTCCATACTGTAGGGATTGCATGAGTCTGCATTCTTAACAACAATGGAGAAGGATTCTTTTTTGCCCCCACACCCCATCCAGCATTTGTTATTGGTTGATTTCTTGATGATGACCATCCTTTCTGGGATGAGATGAAATCTCAGTGTTGTTTTAATTTGCATTTCTTCATTGACCAGTGATGTTAAGTATTTTTTCATGTATTTATTTGCCATTCATATTTCTTCATATGAGAAGTACATATTCATCTCAGATGCTTATTTTTGGATTGAGTCTTTGAATTTGGGGGTTCTGATTTTTTTCAATTATTTATATGTTCATCCTAAAAGAAGGAATCCACAAGGAAAGGCAAACAATTGGAAGGAGTAAAAAATAAAAAGAGGGAGCCAACAACAGGAAAATGACATGACAAGGATAATTCAATACATATCAGTTTTAACCTTCAATATTAGTGGTCTTAATTGATCAGTGAAAAGACACAGACTGGCAGAATGGATCAAGAAGCAAGATCCAGGTGAAAGGTTTAGCTCAGCAGCACAAGCACCTGCCTGGCAAGTGCAAGGTTGTCAGTTTAATCCTCACTACGAGAGAGAGAGAGAGAGAGAGAGAGAGAGAGAGAGAGAGATAGAGATAGAGATAGAGAGAGAGAGAGAGAAGCAAGATCCAACAATGTGCTGCATACAAGAAACACATATAATTAAAAAAATTCATAGAGAGTCAAAGGTTGGAAAACAGTACTCCATACAACAGAAATCCAGAAAAAAAGCAGGGATAGTTGTTCTATTTGCAGACAAAGTGAATTTCAAGCCAAGACTAAGGGAGATAAAGAAAGCACTACATCCTTGTAAAGGGAACAATCTAAGAGGAAGAGATAACAATCATAAATATATATGTAACAAATACCAGTGCATTCAGGTATATAAAACAATGACTATTGGACATGAAAAATCATGTAAGCCCTAATATTTGGAGGCCTCAATCCCCACTGTTGCAAAAAGACAGATCAACTATATAAAAAGTTAATAATGAATATTAGAACTAAATCAAACTTTTGAGCAAATGGGACTTAGTAGATGTCTATAAAATGCTACACCTCACAACATCAGAATACACATTTTTCTAAGCTGAACATGGGATGTTCTCTAAAATAGACCATATACTGGCTCATAAAACATGCTTCAGTAAACTGGACATGGTGGCACACTCCTGGAATCCCAGCACTTGAGAGGCTGAAGCAAGCAGATCGTTGCAAGTTCGAGACGAGCCTAGGCTGCAAAGTGAGCCCAAAGCCAGCCTGAACCACACAGGGAGACTCTGTCTCAAAAAGAAAAGAATATGCTTAAGTAAATACAAAGGAACTGAAATTATCATATGCATACTATCAGACCACAGTGCAATGAAATTGGAAACCCATGCCAAAAAAAACCCCACAAGAACTTCATAAACACATGAAAATTAAATAGCATGCTATTGAACAACCACTGGGTCACAGATGAAATTAAAAAAGAATTGGACAGTTTTTACAGTTGAATGATAATAACAATATAACATACCAGAACTTGTGGGACATAATGAAAGCAGTCTTAAGAGGGTAATTTATAAGCAATAAATACCCATATCAAGAAAACAGAGCAAGTGCATATAAACAATGTAATGCTGAACCTCAGGTTTCTAGAAAAAGAAGAGCAGGCTAAACCAAAAGTTCATACAAGGGAAGAAATTATAAAGATCAGAGCAGAAATTAACACACTGGAGACTAAAAAAACAATACAAAGAATCAAGGAATCAAAGAGCTGGTTCTTTGAAAGATTAAATAAAATTGAAAAACCCTTAGCTAACCATATCAAAAAAGGCAAGGAAAAACTCAAATCCATGCAATTAGGAATGAAAAAGGTGAAATCACAACAGACCCTGTAGAAATTCAGAAAATCATGTATGCCTACTTTGAAAACTTGTATTCTAATAAGATGGAAAACACAGAAGAAATGGACAGATTCCTAGATACATATGAATTACCAAGCTGAATTAAGAAGACATAAAAAT